ATTCTGTTGTGTGGAGGCCCTTGCCGAGGACGTAATCGAGGATACGCTGAACCAATTGGGCATGGAGTTGTTCTGCTCTACACCAACATTCCCTCCTGGCTGGCAAAGACTTCGTTGGTTCTCTGGGTCCATACGGGCAGTCGGTAAATGTCGTGCTTTCAGAGGTCAGGCGTTAACCAAAGCGAAACGTCTTTGGAGGTGCGCTGTCGTTTCTTCGCTACGGGGATTTTTCTGGATGGTAACACTCTTATGAAGTGGTCGAGTATTAAATATGTGTTAGCTTTTGCATGATTTGTAGCCACATCTTAATGAAAGGGCCTCAGAGGGTAAAGTGTCCCTACTAGGTAACTGGTTTACGCGGATCCGTTGTCAACTGACGTGGATAAAATCAACACACATTTGAGTTACTCGGCCAGTTTTTTTTTCTTAAGCCCTAAAAAGTATTACGCCTGGATGAGACCTAAGTTATGGGTGCATGGAGGGGGAATAATAGTATTATCCCGTTTCAATCAGTCTGTCAACCTGTTTGCTGGAACATTATTAGCTTGTTCTTGGGACTGGTTAGCGGCCTTGTATAATTGAACGGTTTGGGCTTATCTGCGGTATTTGAATGCTGAAGATTCGCACAGGGTACCGACATAAGTTGGTTACACCACCCTGATTGAGGGTCCTGTTTCGCAAGAGTCGCATATAGTGTTACTATCTTAACAAAGGAGCTGTCATGATGGCAATAAACAATTTCAGAAACGCTGCGTTGCATCGCCAGAAAAATAGTATGAAGTCAACAAGGTTAGTCAGTGAGGAGTGTTAAAAAGTAAGGAGTAGTTTGAGAGGTATAGAAGTTTATACGCCGATTGGGAGAATCCGAGTATCGGGATACGTGCCCTTGGCACGAGTGAATTTATATTTCTAGTTTCAAATCTGGGGCGGTAGGTTGACCATCCGAGGTATGACTAGTGCTTGAAGTTTCATACCTGACCTTTCTACTTAGCGCGCGCGAGACGGTTTAATAACCTAACATGTATGTGGCTCCTTAAAGCGTCGCAGTTCCTATACACATAATAGTGGATGAAAACGGGCTTAACTATTTCAGGTATGGGGCCGTTCTTCATCAAAGACGCGAGCAGGGGCGATATATATTACTCGCAGGGCGATGAAATTGGCACATTGCTTTCGACCAAGATAAGAAAGATTTTTTTATTGGTCACCTCGATGTGAATAAATGCGCGGAAAGGTGGAAAGTCAAAGTGGACAAGCATGCACGTGATGCACTCGGCGAGATTACATTTTTTCATGATCCTAAATTGCGCCTTTACTCAAGCCGCAGCGCATTCATAGTTTTTGAGTTGCCATGTATATCACTAGCGCATCTGAGTCGTGTGTCTGCTGCTGTGATTAATGGCTGGTGCTGCGTACCGGGTTTCGCCGCGGAAAGCACCTCTAGAGCCAACAGTAGCACCAAGGCGAACGCCATTTTTGTCTGGGAAATAATTGTGGAAGACGGCGTTATTAACTAGACGGTCCGCTCAGGGAGTCGCAAACACGTGTATACATGGCACCAGTACGCAGCGGAGAGTCACGAGAATCGCATCGCTGATTGGCGCTCCCTGCCGATCTAGCACGACCGCCGCTGTGAAACAAATGCACCACGCTGACGCCGCACCCCTATATACCGGGACGGATTAGCGCTCGGTACAAAGCATCCGACAGGCGAACTAATCCGAAGAGGCGATGAGAAGACCAATGAACACTACGAGCAGGGAATTAAGGCTCACACAAACATTCGGGGCAGGGTTTCGTCTGTTTAGTCCATTGTGGTTGTTAGGATTAGAGATGACCCACACGCACTATATATGCGCGAGAGGGAGGCAGGGTTACAGTAGCGACAACCAGCTGGCACTATGTGAGGCAAAGTCGTTGGACAATTGTCGGACTATGACGCGTCGCGCTATTGCGCATGCATTGCAGTGGCTAAGAGTTAAACTGATCAACGGAGCGGCCCTCGCGCGTAGCTACTGAGCATCTTAGTACATATAATACGCGCTTAAATAACACCGACGCGCGTATGCGATTACATCAACAGTTTAGCGGACGTGGCTGCAGCGAGAGAAAAGAGATAGAACGAAGGGAAAAGAAGAAAATTATAGACTGAAAATTATGCAATAGACTTGTTTATATAAAGTTGAGTAAGGTTCAATAGCGAGACTTGTGAGAGAGAGTCCATTTTATTGAAGAAGGTGTGGGGTGAATTGGGTGTGGGAGTATGGTAATTAAAGTAATAATTCGTAGTACAAAGTAAAGCAGCAGACGGACAATCTATGTGAAATTTGCAGTGAGTGACGGTAGAATTCTATAGAGAGCGTTGATGGCGCGGCCAACAGAGCGCTAGAGAGAGCTGACATGAAGACAGGACAAGTAACTAGACCGGAACAGACATTAGAAGAACACAGTTACGCCCATAGAATCTAACAAACACGCGCGGGGCAGCGGTGCTGGAGCGAGTTATGTGTGGTGTGCGATACGTGCGGATGTATTGTGTGCGTGTTTATGTGGTATATGCGTATTGTGTGGTGTGTGTGTCTGGGATGTGTGGCTGGGGGTGTGGGGGTGTAGTGCGCGGCGACGTCGAACGCTCGACTATAAGTAATAAACAATGCGAATACAGGTTAGGATACGTAAAAACTGATACATACAGGTATTAAAACAATGCGTAAATGAAATCAGTAATACAATTAACGCGTATATTTGCACGTCGTGTGGTGTTGTAATATGGCTTGGTTGACTGTCGGGTGTCGTGTGTGTGTGGGCTGATGTGTATGTGTGTGTATGCTGTGGGGGGGTGGTGTGTGTGTGTGTGTGTGGTGTGTGCTGTGTGACATGTCGGTGATGCAGTTCTGGGTGTGTGGTTGTGCTGTGTGCTGTGTGGCGTGGCGTGTGTCGGATGCCGAGCCTACAACCCGACATCTCCCGAGTTGTCGGTGTCGCTGGTGTCGTTGTGTTACGTCTGTAGTGAGTGGTCGGTGTGGGCGTGTCTATGTGTTGCTTGGTACGGTCTCTAGGTATGCGCCGGCGGTGGCGGAGTCTAGGTGGAGGTGTGTGTGTGTGTGTGTGTGTGTGTGTGTGCATGAGTTATACGTTTCTAAAATTGAAGACGACGCAGACAAAGACTCAGCAGACAGCGGCGCCAGCACAACGATGCCTGCTTTAGAAAGCCGTGGCAGCAACGTGCCTGTACGAAGTCTGATTAGAGCAAATGCTATTGTACGTTCAGCCCACCTCGGCTATACTGCTTCGATGAACAACGTAGCTCATTTCTGTCAAATTGCAGCAGTGGCACCTTATTTCTAAAGCAGCAACGATGCCTGCTTTAGAAAGCTGTGGCAGCAACGTGCCTGTACGAAGTCTGACTATAGCCAATGCTATTGTACGTTCAGCCCACTTCGGCTACTGTTAGGATGAACAACGTAGCTCATTTCTGTCAAATTGCAGCAGTGGCACCTTATTTCTAAAATTACACCTAAGCCACGGTGACCACACACTGACTCGGACTTGCGCGTAAAAGAGCGAAATATCGCCTGCGAGCTATTTACTGCATATGTTACTCATTGGCGTGTAATAAATGTTAATATACGTCTAAAAATATGTTCAATTAAATGTAATCAAAAAACAAATACAAATGTGTAATAAAATACGTGTAATGCGCTTTTACTAGAAGAAAGTGCATTTTTATATCAACACATTGGCATGTAAATAAGTGCTGTGGTGACTTTTCCCAGTTTAATCACGTAGTTGGGAAACATGGCAAACTTGTACATAAACGTTCATGAACATGTTTTTTTTTGGGGGGGGGGGTAACTTTGAAGCATTTTGTTTCTAAAAATAGTATATAATCATACGGCCACAGATATAGTAGCAGGCTTACCTTCAATAGACATCATTTGTCTAAGGTCTCTGTTTAGCAGTTCATAGCGAGTCTCCAAATCATGCTCTTTCTCTCTACAATTAATAGGAAAACGCAATTAATTCACAAAGTCGTCAAATGCAGATGCCGCTCTCGTGCACTTAACCAGTTTTTCGGTTAATCCCAATCACATCATGATTAAATATACTTCAACACACCACCGATATTGCTGGAAAAGTATGATCTCTCAAACAATCTCTAATCCAATATATCAACTGTACCCATCATTATCAGATACTGAGGCAAAACACTGTAAAATTCCTCCGCGTTTTAAATTGACTACGTCACGAATTTTCTATGGTGTATATTTGTAAAAAAAATTATTGCAATTTTTTTTACAAGAAAAGTAAGTACTAACGGCACCTAATGTATCCTAAAATTCTTACCTGATAAGATTATTTTTCAACTAGTTAAAAATCCCAAAAATCTGGGCGATTTGATATATTGATCATGACATTAAATGCTTGCTATGGGCTATGTATGAGTCACGAGGGTTTGTTTACATCGAACGGAATAGCAAAATAGGACGTATAATGCATCCATTTAACCATAAAATGGGAACATAATCACTTACATTTTGTGAAAAAGTAGACTTTTTTTTACTTTTACTATTTACGGTGACGTAATCACTTTAAGTGTTTATCCGATCTCCTTGGTCATAATTGAACCAAACTAAATAACACTGAATGCAACCTAGACGCGTGTTTCTCCTCCTTACATAGACATAATATTATAAAGTACACAGTGACTTATAATTTAGGTTATAATTTATAATCAAGATTTAATGAAGAAATAATGGTTAGTTATATTGCGTGTATCAATGTGGAGCTCCATGTAACTATATATTCAGCATCATATTACTCTTTCACAACAATTAAGGAATACGTAAACATCTGCATATTTACGGCCTGCCATATTGGTGGGGGCGGCCTGTGCCCTACATAAACATTTTTTTATGTGCTATGGTGAACAATAGCCCATAAAGTGAGACAATAGCCAAACTCAAGTATACGCAGCAGTGCACTATAAGATATTCTATACCATTCTAAACCTTCTGGGTGTCACCAGGAAATGCGCAATGGAAGCATGGCGTGCAACCCATCCCCGTGTGCGCATCACAGCGAAAGCCGATAAGAGACAGTGTGGCAGGTAGAGCGCGTGTAGCCGGCGGGGCAGGGTCGACACGCACCGTGTGTGTAGTAGCTATAGCTGCGGCGACTACCGCCCGCCCGACGACGACGCAGCTCTCCTGATTTCCCACACTCCTTATCGTAATACCTTGCTCGGCCTGCGCTTGTTAGAAGCGATTTATGCGCTGCGGCTGCAACCCTGCGAACGCCATCATCCCCGGGGGCCAGCTCGCGTGCGCGCCCGCCGTTGTGATAACTGCGTGTGGGACATACGACGAAATCCCCGGGAAAGTGGTGTGTGTGCGGCAAGGCGCACTTACGCTCGCACGCGCGCGCGCGCCGCGTTTTTGAACGACGACAAGGGATGCTGGATTACTCGCGCTAATTGATAAGTAATACTTGTGGGGGATTATGCCGAGCGCTAATCAAATAACTGAAACAAATTAGACTTGAAAGTCAAGAGGGTCGGTTGTTCATTACGTGGGATCTCGGTGACAAGGAAGGTGCATAAAGACGTAACACACGGAGGGCTGGCAGCTTCCCAGAAGCTGTCACATGGCACTTCAATTAATTACCTTATTATACGTTGCAATCTTTCGTATCGATTGCATCAACAGGAAGTAAACCAACACCGAAACAGAGTGAATTTTTTTTTCCAATTGCACAAAAATACGCAAAAATGCAGCAGTCGACACGGGTTCTTCCGTGCAAACGTGTTAGAATATAAATTGCACCTGGGGAAAAAATCACTTATTATGCCCGTACCGAAATATAAATGTGAACCGCTCGACGCGGATGCACCGTCTTTGGTGGTAACACCGATACTTAACAAGATATTGATGTATGTTCTGTGTGTTTGTTTATGAGTTCTTGATACTCGAGTCATAATTCCTATGTATGCTAGTAACAAGCATTTCGAATTCCAATCTTTTTCCATTTGCAGTCAAAACTAAAAAATATTGTCGGGAGAAGTAGTGGAGGGTAGAGTAATATTATGGTTACTTTTAACCTTCTGAACAGACACGTGCCTATTTTTAATTGTTTATATATTGTTTAAAATATATCAGACCCATGGTAATTTTATCACCAATGTATTCCAAACTATATGCGGGTGCCAGTCACATGAAATTCGTTCATGTATTATATATAAATATGAATATATATGTGTGTGTGTGCGTGCGTGCGTGCGTGCGTGCGTGCGCGCGTGTTTGTGTGCAACAGACAGACAGAGAGCGTTAGCGACAACTAAACATATATAGCTAAAATGCTTGTTATCGTCTTCCTTTTCTCATCTTTCTTCACGGGAATGAAGGTGATACAGCAAGTAATACATGCGTGTTAGTACTTTACGTATAGTATAACGTATAGGATTTAGTTTGGCAAAAATATGATATTATCAGACAGTCACTGTTCTCAAAATGACCACTATAATCTTCTGACTGAATGAGTTATTATTCGAGATTATATTGCGGTTTGACTATATGGGTCTGTAGCAACAATATGGACACATTTAGCGAAATCAGCTCTGAAGTAATCTTGTCTTTTTAAATGTCAAAAACTATTTTTAAGACCGAATGAACGTCCATTTTGAGCACGCTAATGTATTAAGCCCCTACAACGGAAGCAAAAAAAACAACTGCGGCAACCGAAGACGGCGTGCAATAACGCGCGATGACGTCAAACGAAATGTATCGGCCATCATACGTCTTCTCTATCTACGCGCGAAAATACCTAATTCAATTTGGATTGTGTAATCTGCACGCCCGTGGAGCTCAGGTAAGAGTCGCCACTGCAATTAGCGGCAATCCTATCAGTGACAGGAAGCTGATAAGAAAGCTCTGTCCACCCACGTGGCTTCACTGACCTGTGCAATCTGATTGCAGCTACAGGTCTTCAGTATCTCAAGCTCTACACTCACTAGAGGAAGTAAACGGTGGCTTGTAGGAGTCATATACGAGGATGCAGTACAGCGGATCATATAGTAATCACCGCCTGTGTCAGAGAGAAAGAGAGAAAGAGAGAAAGAGAGAAAGAGAGAGAGAGAATTAGGAAAGGAGGGAGGGAGTATAGAAAATGTGTATGTGCACGTGTGCGCGTGTGAGTGCTGCGAGTGGATGCGTGAGTGCGCGCATGCGTGCATGTGAATGAGAGAGAGAGAGAGAGAGAGAGAGAGAGAGAGAGAGAGAGAGAGAGAGAGAGAGAGAGAAAGAAGGGCGTAAAATGGTGGGAAAAAAGATGAACGGGAGGCATAAACAGAGGGAGAGAGTGATGGGGGATTGCAATATATATATATACATATATGCGTGCGTGTGCGTGTGTGTGCGTGCGTGCGCGTGCGTGCTTGCGTGTGCGTGCGTGCGTTTGCGCGCGTGTGTGTGTGTGTGCGTGCGTGTGTGTATAGAAAGGCGTGGGGATAGCGATAACAATCGTAAAACAGTTAAGAGTAAAGACAGTGAGAGAGAGAGAGAAAGAGAGACGGGTAGTGCGGCAGAGAGGGCGAGATCCCGAGCAGGGCATCAATATTATGACAGCACGGCTAGTGAATACGAGTATGCGAACAAACCCCCCAGCAAGAACATATCTAGCATCCTTAAATAAGTTCATTCGGTTGGTAGATAATAGATCTATCTTGGTTAATTGTTACTCAACCGTGTTGATCAACCTATTTTGATCAACACGGTTGAGTAAAAATTAACCAAGATAGATCTATAACTATAGCATCGCCCGAAAAGTCAACTCGTTTGTTTTACGCGATTGTCACAAAATAGACGTAGACAGCAGCTAGTTGTATACGATATTGTTGTATCGTAACTTTACATATATATAGCTAATGTACACACCCCATTGGCACATGCGTAGATAAAAAAGAATCAACACCAGATAATGCCAGTATAATATATATATATATATATGAGTAGAACTATCGACGATGACAAATTATAAACGCATATTAACCAACGCCGTTTGCTCATTATACCTTGTGCTTTCTTTCCCGATATGTTCACTGTCCACTGTGCATTGTATACCACATTATATACACATGTTCATTTTTAACTTGCGCATGTTTACTACCTATATGTTCCCTACCTCCGTATGTTTACATTTACTGGCCCTACTCAATATCCGTATGTGTTCACTACCTGTGTGTTAAATGCAGGTGTTCGTGTTCAGCACTGGTGACGTGTACGTTCACTGCCTCAGTCCTGCCTACTATACATGTACGTTTGCTACCAGGGTGGGTTTACAACGCCTTCTTATTGATTACCTTTGCGTTTTTAGTCTGGGGTGTTCATTCTGTCTTCACTGTGTGTGTGTGTGTGTGTGTGTGTGTGTGTGTGTGTGTGTGCGCGCGCGCGCGCGCGCGCGTGTGTGCGTGTGCGTGCGCGTGCGCGTGCGCGTGCGCGTGCGCGTGCGTGTGTGTGTGTATTTTGACTACCCCCTTTATTCACAATTCGGTACCGTGTCAGGTTTTAGGGTAGCAGCAGCATCCTATAGTCATAACGTGCTTTACTGCTTACCTCAAGCCGAATACAAAAACCGTTTTGCCAAAATAAGGGCCGCTTGGGAATAACATTACAAAAAACCAAGATGGCAATATATTTTCTGGAACATAATATACGGGTTGGGTACGGACACTCACACGCACGCGCACGCACACGCACACGAATACGCACACGCACACACACACACACACACACACACACACACACACACACACACACACACACACACACACACACACACACACACAC